ACCAAAACTTTTTGTATGATATGTACAAATTTAATCGATCCAACCATTAAATAATATGATATTATACTCAAGATCATAAATATCAAGTTTCTCATGATCATTCCAAAATTATTTAATATTTCATATCTAAAACAAAAATTTAACCTTAATCTTTATTTAAGACACACAAATGTCAATCTACTTGAGTTGGCGACTTTTGGTATATTATTTTTATGAGTCAAAATTTGTTAACACTAAGAAAAAATTTACACTAAATCTTATATTTTCAAAAAAAAAAATTGTATAATACAAATTTAATTGATCTAACCATTAAATAATATAATATTATATTCAAAATCGCAAATATCAAATTTTACATTATTCTAAAATTATTTAATATTTTATGTCTAAGACAAAAATCTAATGCCAATCCTTATTTAAAACGCACAAATGTTGATCTACTTGAGTTGGCAACTTTTAATATATTAATTTTAATTTGATATCTTTAAAATATATTTTATGAAAATAATAACTAAAAAATATTTTAAATATATAAATTTAATAGAACTCTTAAACAAAATAATTAATAATTAAATAAGTAAATTAGGAGATATAATGTTAAAGTGTAACATATTTACATTTGTTAAGAAAGTGAAGTGTTTAATACTAGAAAGAAAGGTGATATTATATTTGTATATCAAAAAAAATATCAATCTCTATATATTAAACATGAACTTCTATTTTGCACAAAAGTATTTTGTAGGAATTTTTTTAATTTTTTTATTTAGTTCAATTTTTGTTTATTATAAATATTTATGAATTAAATATTAATATTTTAAAATAAATTATCAATGAATAAAAATATTTTTTTACAATATAAACTATTTATCATAAATATAAAATATAATTTATATATTTAAATATAGTATTTATGTATATATATATATATGACTTTAAATCTTAATTATATATAATAAATATATATGTATTACATAAATTAAAATACTAATTATTCTAAATATTGTTTTGATAATATTTTTTTTACACAAAATATTAACAAAATATTGAAAAAATAAATATAATATCATATATTAGAATCTTTCAAGCGAACTAACCGCGCATTTTAATATAGGTGAGGGAAGTTCAATATTCATATTTATCAAAGAGAAAAGTGTATAATTTACTCCATAAGTAATATTAATTAATCCAAATTACCCATAACAAATATAAATATTACATCAAATGATAAAACTTGAAACAAGTTGACATCATTTTTCATCTATGTTCTTGTTGTTGGAGGTGCTTTTTGATATAATTTATAAAATGCATAACAAATATAAATATTACATCAAATAATAAAACAGAAAATAACTTGACATCATTGTCCATCTATGTTCTTGTTGTTGAAGGTGCTTTTTGATATAATATATAAATGCATAACAAATATAAATATTACATCAAATAATAAAACAGAAAACAACTTGATATCATCTTCCATCTCCGTGCATGTTGTTGGAGCTGTTTTTTTATATAATTTTCCACCTTCATTTACTCAATTTACCTTGTCAGAGTGCTATGATATCATTCCTCAATTTCACTGTACTCTACAGCCAATGTCAAAAGATATCAATCATCACAATCTATTTTTAATAAAATTATTCACCATTAAGACAGAGACCTTATAAGAGCATTCAAAGAAAATCAGAGTTGTTGACAAATTCATTGACGTCAAAACAAAGATGGAAAAGAAATGCAAACCATCTTTTTAATGGTTGCCATATATATAATAATTAACAAGATCTTCAACAATTATAGGCTTAAAGATCTTGGTGTGGAGAGAGTTCAAGAAGCTTATACAACAGATTCAAAGGTACAAACTACAAGGTGAAGGAATTAAACATAATGTATGTATGGTTGAAGAAGAAAATAAAATTGATGAGGGATGAAAGAGAGGCTACATTGGGTTGAAAGAGGAATGACTCTTTTAGAAGATAGGTTTATTCATGTCAGAAGAAGTAAACTGCAGAAACCCTAACAATGTTGGGTGGGTGTGAAGTGTTAGAAGAAAAAGAAATGTGGTGAATTTATAGGAGTTGCGGCACGTGCTGATGTGTGTCTAGAACTTACTGTTTCCCAACCCACGTGATGTTAGTCAAATGAATATCTCAGCCGCACGTACAAAAAGAGTATATACGTATTTAGAAAATTGGAAATAGCAATCAAAAATTAAAAAATAAATGAAGGTAATTTAATTTTAACAGCAGGTGCAGTTGGTTGCTGTATGACAAGTTGACAACCGCAGAGGATAAAATTGTTTGCCTTTCGATATAATCTACGCGCTTTGCAGTTTCGTAATCCCACAGTTATATATAAAAGTTAATTACTCATTTCTTTTTATTTTGTTTTAAATTTTAATAATTTTTGTCTTAGTTGTTTCAGTTGATCCTTACAGTAAATATTAATGACTATCTTATATAACAGTATTTTTAGAGATTTTTTTTTAAGAATTATTTTTTATTTACATTGATTATTTATGAATTAAAGTTTAATATTTTAAAATAAATATTAATAAATAAAAATATTCTGCTACAATATATTATTTTTAATAAAGCTATATTAATATATAAATTTTAATATAATTTATTTAAAATATAATATTTTGATATTTGAAATGTTAAGTGTATATAAAGTTTAATATTATATTTTTAAATAAAATTAACTTTAAATATACTTATAAAATTTAATATTATATTAATTTAATTAATGTTATATTTTTAAATAAAATTAACTTTAAATATATTTAATTATAAACATAGTTACCTTTAAATATATTTAATTATTTATAATCTGGAACAATATACAAATATAAATCTAAATAAATTTAAATTTAAATTTAAATTCAATTATAATTAACTTTTATATTTAATTCTAACATAATCTAAACAAATATACAACTTTAGTTAATTTTTTATTTTAATATTTTTCAATAAAAATGTAATAATATAATTTATCTAATTATTTTTGTTCAACTTTTATCCTATTTCATATTTTTACAAACTAAATTATTAAATATATCTAAAAACATTTCTTTTATTTGTACAAAATACGTTATTAAATATTAAATATAATGATTTTTTTTTCATAAAATTTTAAAATATAAAATTACATTTATAAATTTCTTTATTTAAAGTCTAAAAATTATTAAAATCAGTTACAATATTTCTTTATTTAGTTTTACATATTAAGTAATTAATATTATAATTATAATATTTCACAAAATAATTTCAACATAATAAAATAATCACGATCATAAATATTATCAAATTAATTATATTTTCATATTTAAAACTTGTAACTAACTTTTAGTGAAAATATTAATCCAGATACAAGTTTTGAGATTAGATAAACACCACCTTATAAGATAAATATACAATATATATTAAAAATAAATAAAATTAAATATCAAGAAAAAAAAAATATAATATAACAAATAATAATAAAAATATAATATAAAACACAAAAATCAATCAAGAAAGTGCACACCTCTTATCTTTCCTTTTCCGTCAGCTTTTCTAACAACGTGGCAAGGAGTGTTTTTTCCGTCAGCTTTTCTGACAACGTGGCAAGGAGTGTGGTAGCGTGTGTATAGAAGGGGCACCACCCCTCCTCTTTCAATACAAACCGCAACGTGCATGGGCATATGCATATTGTGTGTGTCATACATTTTGCTTGAATATGCACTCCTTTAATAAAACAATTACGGTCACAAATATGACCAAATTAATTATATTTTCAAATTTAAAACTTGTAACTAACCTTTAGTGAAAATATTAATCCAAATACAAGTTATGAGATTAGATGAACACCACTCAACAAGATAAATTTATAATATATATTAAAAATAAATAAAATCAAAGATCAAGAACAAAGACAAAATACAATATAACAAATAATGATAAAAAATATAATATAAAACACAAAAATTAATCAAGAAGGTGCACACCCCCTCCTTTTATTTTTTCATCAACGTCCGCAGGAAGTGTGGCTTCCTGTGTATAAAAGGCGTACCACCCCCTCTTCTTTCCATACAAACTGCAACGCGCATGAAGGTATGCATATTGTATCTTGCCACACATTTTGCTTAAATGCGCACCCCGTGTATACCAGCCCCTGTTCTTTCGGTACAAACCGCAACACACATGGAAGTATGCATATTGTGTCTTGCCACACATTTTGCTTGAATGCACACTCCCCCGTCCCCACCCCACCTTTTGTTTTGCTTCTTTTGTAGACCATGTTGACAAAACTATTTATTTTGGTAAAAATAAAAATAAAAATTATTTTAGGTATTTTTATTTTTTAATTTATATTAGTTAAAAAAGCCACTAAAATAACAAATTGATGAAAATAGAAGAAGTAAAAGTATAATTTATAAAAAATATTTATTGAAACTCCAGAGATGTTTAGGTATACTTTATTTATTATATGGAATGAATTAAAAAAAACAACTGCTAGAGAAAGATGAAGTTTTAAAATTATAGTTTTTTATAATTGTAAGCAAACACAAATCATCCTCTGCTTACATAAAAATTTCTTAAAAATAAATTACTTGTACGAAAATTACTTTTTTTTAGCCTAAACAAACAGCCAAATAGCACCCTTTGCAAGCAACAAATTTTATATTAAAATCACCACAACTTAATTTGTATTTATGTTCCTAAAATTGGCATATTGACTAATATATAAAATAACCTTGGTCCTTAATAAAATTCTAGTTTTATTATAAATTGCCAATATTTTTATCAAATTTTAAAAATAATTAGTTTGTTATAAAAGTTTTGTCTGAGGATAGCAAGGCTCTATTCAAAATTCTAATCATCATCCTAACTTTGAGTCAGCCCAACAGATTGTGTTTCGTGACTAGAGTCGTGAGATTACACACATGATTGTTTCATCAATCATTCATCCAGGGCGCTGATACTTAGATTTTAATTTTCAAGTATGCTATGAACATCATCATATTATCAACATCCAGAAGAAATAATTTGTCAATTGTCATGGAAAATGGAAATCACCCAGAAAATGTAATCATAGACAAATCCCAACCAATTCCGAATGAACGAGTGCGCAAAATTCATGATAAATACAGGATCTCTAATATTAGATTTGTACATGGACAAATTCTACAACATGCAGGGCCACCAGAGCACATAGCCACAGACATGGCTCTCCAACAATCACCATTAAGCTGTCACAGAAACTCACCTATTCACCGGAAGGAAGAAATCATAACGTCAATAATTGTTTAATTGTCTTTAAAACATATCTTACATATCTGAGAATGGGGGATATAAGATTTTCAAACAGTTTAAACCTCTAAAAGACATACCATTGACTCCAGAGAACCACTTTTTTGATTTATATGATGAAATAATAACTCCTTCAGTTGCTATCTTTTTGATCTGTCACTTAACCCAAACAATGGTCATGTTAATAAAATTATAGTATTCAACATGCATAACGACTGCTAAGTGATCAACGAAAGACCTTAGCGGAGTAAATCTCCATCATCATATTTAAGGTTATTTTTTGGTAGATTCATATTTAAGTATTTTAAGTGGACGTATTTAACAATTCAAAGGTATAACTATGAGCAACAACAGAGCAATTAGTTAACAATTCTGATGACAAGTTGAGTTTGAAGACATGTAATATATTGAAAAGAGCAAATAGAATGAGTCCTTATTATAGGTCCTACTAATATGGGATGGTCAAAGGGGTAAAATATTGAAAAGAATAACCAAAGAAGCATACAATTTTATGAAAATTCGACTGGTAACTCTTGGTAAAAGCCACTAACATAGAAGGATTTTCAAATTCTCATTTATATTAATTTTGTTAATATCAATAAAAGGAGTTGTATTGAGTGGTAGATTAAGGAGAAAGGAATGCAAGCATTGTACATGAGAAGGAAACAAATGACTACAAAATCCCCTCAGTATTCATGCACCCCCTTGTACCTTTCCGAACATCCTTCATTTGTTTTGTTGGGGGAAAACAGTGATAGATGGATATCCTATTCTTGTAAACACTCATTTGATTTGACGCTCCTTACTTTATTGTTACATCTTATCACCTACCATATCTATATTTTTCTTTCTCAAGGTATCAAATAGCATGGGGGTGTCCAAGCATTTTCAAAAAAAAAATCATTTCAATAAGTTACCTTTCATCTATAGAATTAAGTAATTAACACCTCGTTACCTTTCTTCTATATATTGATAAAACTTCATAAAAACAAATATAGTGACATTTGCAACATTGAACAGCAAAATGAAAACTAAATGCAACAACGACAATCTAAAATAACCATACCTCGAAGAGCTGAAGTGAAACCACATGTAGTTAAATGCTGTGCAAGTTCCTCCCCCAATTGCTTCAGGTCATTTGGTGCAGTTTTTTGTTCAGGCAAAGGGGAAACAATTGCTGTCTCGGATGCCAGATTTACAATTGCAGATAACACTTGTGGCTGTCCACTCCATTAATCATTCGATATAAACAGATAAGAACACAAACTTAGGTTACAATAATAATATTCAAAGTATGTATAATTGAAGGGAAAATTGAAATCAGAACAAAGTCAATACTATTATTACTATCACTCTTATTACTTACTCGGCTTTCTAATATTTTTTTGACGCTATTTGCACATCCCTCGCACATCATTCCCTAAAGAGTGAGAAGTGAATTTGAATTTCTGGAATTTGATACCGTTTCAGAAAATGGAAATAGAGGAAGCGAGGAGGTCCAACTTACCCCGACGTGGAGATTAATGACGGCATCGCCGTCGGAAGAGCACCGCAAAGGCGTAACAGCGTTGAGGCGGCGACGAAGTGGCGTAACTCTGCCTCTCACCAAATGGCGATGCTTTAGAGGCTTGAAAAGCGCCACCGGAGTCAGCGTCGCACGCGGCGCAGAATCCATTGCGACCGGAATCGGAAACGGAATTGAAAGAGACGAAGACATGAGCACCTCACAAGACCAATTACTCAACGCTCTTGTTATCGTCAATGCTAGAATAATTATTAATAGGTTAAAATTCATTTTTATTCTCGATAGATTTTTTATTTATTTAAAGTTTCTATAGTTTTTTTTACAACAAATTGTGATTTAATGATTTATTATATAATTATTAAATTATAATAAATATTGATTCTCTATAAAATTATTTAACCTCTTCATTTTTATTTTTGAAAGAAAGGGACAAAACACTTGAATCATAAGCTAAATTAAAATTCACGGGAAAAACCAGTCATACAAATATAAGTCCTAATGACAAATAAAATAAAAGATAATATAATAGATAAACACATAGTTACATAAGAATTCATCCCCTCCTTAGCCAACAGGTCGCTTGAAAAGTATGTAGCCATTCGTAATATGTAAAGTACCACCTTGCCTATAAAACTTATAATAGACGGGGTTTTCTTCAATTTGTCAAAAAAGTTTGTATTCTTATTTGAGATAGTGAAAAATCACTAAGATTCTCTTGTGGATATAGACAAATTTTTGAAATACATTAAACTCACATGTTTTATTATTTATATTTATGGTGTTGACTTTGTGTGTCATATCATTTGGTTTTTATTGTTGTATGTTATGGTTTAATTTCTTTCAATGTGCACATGAGTTAGATTTTAATGTGACTTGTTTCGAATAGTAGTATTGAAAGTTTAAACATTTTGTTGTAATTGATTAAGACTCGTCTATCAAGTTAACCATGTCAATTGATATCCAATAGTTGATCCTTGATAAATGTTAGTTGACCTTTAATTAATAGAATCAAATTAGTATAAATTAAATTTGGATCAATGATTCAAGATTTTAAAGATACAAAACTAATCATCAGTTGAAATTTAAATATTAATCATTACACCGCGAGTTGTAGTAGCTACAATCCATGTATGGTAAAGAAAGTCAAAATCAAGCATAAGTTGCAAACTAGACAACCAACCTAATTTTTTAACTCTATAAGAAGATCAAGGCATTCTATCATGTGAATGTGTAATGTGTCCAAACACTTGAGACCGGCAAGTTCCATCCCCAAAAACACCTATAGTTTTATTGAATTCCTAAAGTGTAAGCTACAAAAGGCATTTTGAGTTGTTCAAAATTTTAACATAAAGAAATAATAATAAAGTCAAAATAACAAATAATTTGAGTAATAATACAATGACAAAATAATAGTCCTAATTTTTTTATAAGACTCAAATATTTAATTTATCAAAACTAAGAAACTTAGTTAATTTATTTAATAACATCAAATTAGTCCTAGTTTTTTTTTTCAAAAGTATCCTTAATATTAATGAGACTCTTTTTTTACCAACTACTTATTTAAATGAGAGATGATTATAATTAAGAGTATTTCTTGTAAAAAATAATTAATGCAAAAAGACATTTTAGATTGATTATCATGAAGAAAACCAACTAACACATTCATTTTGGGTCTTATAATTTTTATTTTAAAAATTATTCCTAACATTAATGAGACTTTTATTCTACTAGTTATTTATTGAATAAAGAAATACAACTTTAATGAATAATATTTCTTGTAAAAAAAATTAATGCAAGAGACATTTTAAATTGATTCATATAAAAAGAACCAAATAACACTTTTAGTTTGGATCTTAAAAAAAGGGAAGGAATAAGGAAGTTGCAAAACATAATGCAACCATCACAATAATATCACATATAAGTAAAAGTATATTTACTAAAAGGAATTATATCACTTTACAAATATATTAAAAATCTTGAGTTTTTTAACAATATATTCATTAGTATGAAATGTAATAGACAAAATGCATGTAACCACCTAAAGTTCATAAAAAGATTCTTATAATCAAATGAAGGATCAAGAGAACATATGTTCTATAGTCAAATTTTGCATATATACATGGTTACTATGAATTTAAAGTATTGATACAAAGTTTTAGCGATTTAGTCAAGCTTATTATTATTGAATATCCATTATCCAATACAGTATTATAAGAGTCATTAACTAACCTTTTGTGATTTCAGTTATGTCATAATGTACTTAATAATTTTCTATCTTATTCAATTAGTCACTTATAAACCAATATGGTTCGCCTTGACCCCCATGTTGTTTAATATAAAAATATAGAGGAAACAATTTAAAAACAACTTTTCATTTAAGAGACAATGTACCCACTAAAGATTTTCAACTTTGAGATCTTAGAGCACCACAATTTATATCCATAAAATAAGATATTTTAATTTTTAAAATAATTTTCCCTCCTCTAGTTTTTATGTAACTCAACTTAAATATGCATCACATGTCTATACAACTCAACTTGATCAAGATACTTCATACCACTTAAGCAACATACAACTTAATTAACTTCTCACAATAGACAACTTCCAAAATAATTAACTTAAAAAATTATTGTATATCATTATAGATTAATACATAATGAACTAGAATAAATCATCAACATATATATCATGTAAACCACCAACCTATTTCAATATTTAATCAACTAAGTTAAAAATTTCATTTAGCATAACTACGCTCAAAGCCATTCCTCCTGCATTAGACACCAATGAGGCGAAGAACCTCTCCTCACTCACATCTAATGTTAAACCACCTACACTAAGCGAAAATGAGATAAAGAGTCCTTATACTTATTTATTATAAGATATTTTTTTTTTATAAATATCAATAAAAACTATTCCATTATGTGAGGCATCTCATGTAACCTCTTGTTATTAAAACTTTTTGTAGTCTCATGTTAAAACAAAATGATGTTGGATTCAAGTGTAAATTTGAGATTTGAAACAAAGTATGTAAATAGAATTGAAGTGTAATAAAATGTCACAATGGGATTTGTGCCTTGGAGAATGACAAACTTAAGTGTGAAACAACTTTAAGGACTTTCACCAAGTTTCATATTAAAACAAAAAGTTAAGAATCGATTAGATAGAATTTGACACGTATTTTATATATTGATTTTAATTAATTTTGATTTTTTGGTCTTAAATCTAAATCCATCAAAATCATTCATATTTGAATTATTTTTTATCTAATGATTGATTTTATTACTAAAATAATTAGACAAATAAAAATATTATATTAGAAAACTTGTAAAACACAATGTCATGATATAAAGTCCAACTAATAATGATTACATACTTAAAAATATTTTAAAACTTGGATAGTGATTAACTTGGTAACATAGTTTTAAAAATTGGTTTGCATCAGTTGAAAATCGATTTGGGCATTTAATTCAATCAGATGCAATCAACTTGGTATAAATTCGCTATTTTTTTTTTGGTTGAATCACAAAACTAACAAGTCAAGGTTGGATCGATCCATCATTTTTAAAAACATTTAAAAATGGTCACTGGTAGGTAAGTATCATGGGGTTTAAATAATAAAATTTATAATGAGAGTCATGGTTTTAATTGTGAGTCATAGTAACCACTAGAGTACCATACAATTTTTTTTTTTTGATCAGCTAGAGTACCATACTATTAGTCTATCTCAACATTAAAGTGTCACGTTAAAGTTAACATGTCATGTCATTTATTATCATTCGTTACAATTGATAGAGGAAACTAAGAACTTGTTTAAATAATTTTTTTTTTAAAAAATACTTCCAAAAAAAAAAAAAGAAGAAAAATTGAAATAAGTTTTTTTTATAGATAAAAACTAGCGAGGAGATTAGTCACTGGTTGGCGGTAGATACTCTAGGGACGAACAAAAAAAAAGCTTATGCATAAATTAAACATAATATTTTGAAGGAATTAATAGGAGAAATTTTTTAAAAATTAGACTATTAATAAACTAATTTTAGCTCAGAGAAAAATGAATTTTCTCTTTATTTTTCTATCCTATAAGTATTTTTTAAAAGAAATTTACCTAAATAATCTATAAAATTTTGTGATTTTAAAAATTAAAAGACCAAAATTACATAATTAAAAAAGGAAGATCAATATCACTAATAAAAATTGTGAGAGATTAAGAATATATTTTATCTAACTTAATTTAATTTTAATATAAACTAATTTTAGTTCATATAAATTTTTAAATTTATTTTTTTACGATAAAATTTACAATTTCTTTATATACAACCATATCTACCCTTGGAAATCCTACATCCTACTAATGGGAGAAATTATCTACATGAATTTACAGCTGGAGAAAGTCGGGTAATCAGGTTATTCAATCACCTATTCTATCCAATCCATAACGCGTCACTCAACTACTGGTCTCAAACCCCATTTGCATAAAATAATTACAGACAACGTTTTTAAATATTTTTACCTTTTCTCTTTACTTTTGACTTTTTTATTTCTCTCTACGTTTTTCTACTATATAAAAATTATACAGAAGTACCATTACTCTTTTGCAAATAAGAAAACGTTAATTCTATTCAGAATATATATATTTTTGTTAATAATAAGTTTTATTAAAGAAATGTGAGAGAGACTACGTTACTCTGTGTAGTACAGTATAAATACTAAAGAGTAGTAGCACACAGTATCAGTTTTTCCCTTTCTCACGTTACTTTCAGAATTGTGGTGGAAAGGAAAAAAAAAAAAAAACTAAAAGAAAAGAACAAAGTCTCTGTCTCTCTGTCGTTCGCGTTGATCTCAGATTCAGTCTTCGCCATGGCGGAGGGTGCTTCATACGGACTGCGTCGCTCATTAGGTCATTTTCTAATTGCTTTTTTCTAATCGTATCTATTGCTTCTTAATTTCTCCTTCAATGCTTCGATCCTGTAATTTTAATTGCTTATTTGACGCGATTTCTCGTCACGGAGCTTGCTGGAATTTCAATCCTCAGCCACTGAATTGTGTTTCCTTCGTTGAATGAGACTAAGTGTCAGTTACTGTTTAGTGTTAATGGCTTCGCTAATGAATTGACCCAAACTTCGGCTCTTACTTAGGTCGATTTGGGGATAACTATTTTGGGATTTTTGAGTCCAATTAGGCTCTGTAGGTGGAAATGCGTATTTGGCACTAGGTTCGGACGATATGAACTATTGATAGGTATTGCTTCACTGCATCCGATTTTCCACTTGACTGGATTGTAAGTGGTGAACTAACACGCAGCTCCAATCCCCCCAAATGATAGTGTTGTTAAATTTGTAACTTTTCAAAATGATTTAGTTGGATGTAGAAAGCACGGTGCGTTCGAGGGATTTTACTTGCAGAGAAAACTAAAGATAACTAAAAGAAGCATCGATTTTTCCTAAGTCAGATTTGTTATTAGAGACTAAATTAAAGGCTATAATTTGTCAATTTCTTTTTACATCCTATCCTTGTTGATGCAAAACGTACAAGAAAAGGTTGGATTCAGATCAGTGGTATGGTATGGTAAGGTAAGACAGCCGCTTTTACTGTTCTTGTTTACTTTTATGTTATGTGAAGAGATTTGACGCTTTAAATGAAGATTCATTGAGGAAAGAAGAAATGAATTTGAATGAAGGATACATATCAGCTATTTAATTCTATCCATATTGAGATCTGATGGCTAAAAGAAGAGCCTGGAGGAATTAACAATCATTCAGACGAAATAGTGACGGAGTAGATTTTCTGTTATTCTCTCTTAAATGGTGGGTTGCTATCATGAACCTCTAGCCTTGTTTGTTACTTCAATCTTACACATCTATTCATTCAAAGAGAAAGTTAAAAGGTTGGTAACTGACATGTGATTTAATTTTTTGAAGCAAGCAAATGCCTCTTGTCATGATATGATGTAACGCCTTAACTTGGTGCTTGGTGGAGATGCTACCTATTTTATCACACAGATGATTGACATATTAGTTATTCTTATCAGTTATATACAAAATGGTTGGCGAATTCTGACCATACCTGCTAACAATCATTAGCTGGATCAGAGAAGAGGATGTAATGATAGGGACTTGGGTATTATGGGATGCTCATGTCCCACATTGAGTATTATGGGGTGCCCAAGTCCCACATCAAGTATCATGGGAAGCTTGGTGGAGTACTTAAGTGGCTTGGTTCTCCCCCTTGGTAGCTACCTTTTAAGAGAGGGTTCTCCAAGTGCTTGAGTGCTAATCATGTAGTGTCTGTATTTGATAATTTTACTCAAAACCAATGATGTCAAAATCATGTTAAAGATCACAGGATTGCACAATCCTATGATTTTCCAGCCAAATTGTGTTCAAAATTGGTTGTGGGGTTGTTTTTCTGTAAGATTGTTTTGAATTGTGATCTTCCTTGTCCTAGATTGTATGATCTGTGCTGTATTGATCTTCCTTTGGGTAGGGTTTTGAAACAAAACCTGTTTTCTGATCTGATCAACTTCACATACCCTAAGAAATATTGACCTTCTCCCTCTCTTAGTACTCGCTGACTCTGATTTGCACAGTATCTCACACTCTCTTGCTTGCTTTGCCTCATCTCAGCAATAACTCCCTCTGTTGCTTGCTTTGTCTCTGCCATTACACACTGGGGTTCTTCTTCTTGTCTTTGTCTCACACTTTCTTAGAGGTTTTGCTCACTTCATCTGCCATAAGTGGTACACTGGGGTTCTTCTTCTTGCCTTCTGCTGTGCCTTATCTTTGCTGTTGTTTACAAGCATATCCTTGGTTCTGCCTCATTCTCTGTAATAAGAAAATCTCCATTTTTGACTTTGATTTATTGCAGTTCTGACTTTGATTTTTTTACTTTAATTTGCTAAGTTTTGGCTCACATATTGGCTAGTTATAAAATACTAGTCTTGTATTAGCTAACTTTCCTAGATAATATGTTAGTATGTTACGTACACTATATATATATATATATATATATGGATTATGTAACTTAATATCACATATTCATGTTTATACAATTAATATATAGTTATCAACAATCCCTAAAAATGTAATTATCATATACACCGTGTAGTATTTGTTTTCACTTGTAATTACAGGGTATCTAAAGAGATCACCCTTAACAAAATCAGTATTTATCAAGTTATCCTGTGTACGTGACATACATTATATAGGTTAATATGAGTATAAGAAAAGTTGCCCATATAAATCTTTGAATATAGCTTAAGTTTAGTTCAGTATTATCATTTATAAGATATTTTTCTTGTCTCTGTCATTTTTATCATATGTATATCTTTATGTATAATTCTGCTTCATTTGGTAGGATCTAATGATCTGTGTTACAACCCTTCAATTTATGATTTTTCATCCCCTGATCCGGTGTAAGATTTTGATTTGGCAACATTGCTCAAAACAGCTTTTCAGACCAAAACACCACAACATTTTGATTTTAAACTATTTTGAACACAAACTAAACTATTCCAAATAATCGCATAAAAAGACTAAAATCAAACAGATTCTGAAGAAAGGAATATTTTGGGTAGATAAAATGATGTTTTGGATGGACTAATAGGATGCTAAATTTGTATACTGGGATACATTGACCTCAATACTGCACTCATGACTGACAGTGTAGGTGTTCTTTTCATGTCTTTTTTATCTTTCCTTTTGATTATGTAACAAAAATATTCTTATTGATTTATGTGACTTTTGTGGCCTTGTTTTGATTCTTTACTCTTTCTTGAATAATTGTATATGTGATGTAATTCAATGATCAAATGTTTGACTGAATGCCTTATTATCAATGTGCAGATATTCAGCAATTACAATTTGAAGCCCAGCATCGGTGGTTGCGACCTGCAGAAATTTGTGAAATTCTTCGTAATTATCGGATGTTTCATATCACATCAGAACCTCATAACAGACCCCCAAGTATGGTTACTGCATGTTACTGATAGATTAATTGGCACCTGTATATATTATTATATAAATTTGTATATATATGGATTAGACACATCTTTCTTGTTGCCGAACAATGTGTTTTGACATGGATGTATTGCCCTCCATGATTTAATTTAACTGTGTTTTGGCTGAACAATTTGTGTAAATTTTTTAATTGTTTGTTATCTGAACTTAAGGTATTCATGTTCCAATAGATCCTATATATTTCAGTTCAAGGAATACAGGCACATTGGGTAATTTTGTAAATATTTTCTTCATGAAGTATGGTAGAGAAAAAGCATCTCATGATTAGTGCATAATCTTGACAATTCTGTAGTTTTTAGGATATTATTAGTAGTATTTTGTTGTTTTGCTTAAATCTTTCTTTGTTTTTAACTTGTGTCCATCTTTTAGCTCCTAAACCTATTCCTATCATTACTTCATGCTTATCAAGGCGTCAGTTAATTACTTGCATTTCATGATTCCAGGTGGTTCACTTTTTCTTTTTGATCGGAAGGTTTTGAGATACTTTAGAAAGGATGGGCATAATTGGAGAAAGAAAAAAGATGGAAAAACTGTGAAAGAAGCTCACGAAAAGTTGAAGGTAAGCTTATAATTTGCTTCAGTTTTGAGTTTATAGTTAATCAAATCTTTGTTAGACTAGCATATATATACAAAGATGATTGGAATTTTTTCAATTAGTCTTATCCAATTGGAAAACATTTTTTTATTATTATGATTATATAGTTGTTCACTGGGGTTGTAACATCATTCAAGCAAATTTAGGTTGGAAGTGTTGATGTGTTGCACTGCTACTATGCCCATGGAGAAGAAAACGAAAATTTTCAAAGACGAAGTTATTGGATGCTTGAACCGTGAGTATGAATTAATTTACTTACAAGATTTTGTGTAATAAGTCTTGGAAATTAAAGTACATTCATATTTCATGTCTTTGTTGCTTTGAAAGTTTCTTAGCAAATACTGTATTAGTGCATTTGCTATCATATCTGATGTCAATTTGTTGATAAAAATTTTAAAGGGTGTTTTTACCCTTAAACTTAGTGAACAGAGCTAAATTTTTGTCTTTCCTTTGGTGTTTGTATGCTTCAAAGGAGTTGCTAGCTTAGACATGTTGATTGAGAAGAGAAGATATACTGCATTCTTCTTACCTGTTCCTTTTGTTTTTAATATTTTTGAAGGATTTCTTGTCCTACCCTTATTAGTGATCCACTAATACACCTATTTCTCCCTAATATAATTTCTTTTTTATCTAATAAATTGTAGGTAACGGTTTTTAATTTTATTGGGTTGTAGCTTGGTACAGATATTGTGGATATATTACAGATATTGTGGATACAAACATTATGGTTATTATCCTCACTATCAATTAGGAATATGATTAGATTAGTTTCCAAATATTAGAGATTAGTATCTTTATCATTTATTGTATTCTCTCTATAAATAAGATTGGTGTGTGTACAACAATCCACACAATTCCTGAATTACAACATAGCTATTTTGCTGCATCTTAGTTAATTTGAGTTTTCAATGTATGTCTGCTGAAATATTTTATGTCTTTGTATATTTAATGAGAATATGGTTTTCTTTTTAATTTTCTTTTATTGCAGGGATATGATGCACATAGTATTTGTCCATTACTTGGAAGTTAAGGTATTTTGTTCACTTCTTTATATTGTTGCTGTTATCATTCTTTCTTGTTTCTACAAGCGGTTGTGTATATTTACCAGTTATAACTCTTTCATTTCTAGCTTTTGGACTATATCTATTTTGACTTTGTTGGAACATTTTACATACATAACTTTATTGTAGTCTGTGTCTTCCATCATGAATAATTAACAATACCATTGTAAATTAACAATATCATTCAGTCATTTCTGTGGAAGGATATGGTGGCTGTGTCAATTTGCAAGTAAAAAAGGCATTGTTATGGTCAATTTTGGTTTTGGTTATTTTTGAAAAAATAATCATATTCTTAATGCTTGTTTGGTTTCATGTTAGATTTCTATAGAATTATGTTGAAATACCAATTAACATGATTTTAGGTAAATTTTCACATGTTAGGTTCCACGTTGAGGAATTGATTCTGAGTTGAAACAATGTCGGGTAGCTTATGTTAGATAAAAAATTTAAACTGAGTTTTACTACTAACTTGCTTTTAAATAAATCACATCACTCCAAAATCAATTTCATTCAAAATCAATTTTGCCAACATTAATCCAAACACACACTTGATAGTTCTCGAGAAGTCAGAAGACAAGTGAATTATTTCTCCAATATAGGTGTGTTTGTTTAAGTTTTTTTTTTAAAAACATTTCTCCAAAAAAGTGAATCCAAACAGTTTTTGTTTTTGTTTTTTTTATTAAGCAACTCCTATCTGCTTAAAAAACACCTTTTTTAGAATATATTTTTTTAAAATTTTAAACCAACTGGCCCATAAGGTGACCAGACATGCACACCCATTTATCTTTACTAGAAAGGGAATTTTATCTGGGCTTGCTTGATGAAGGAGTTTAGGAAAGTCTAAAAAGGTTAAGTATAGATATATAGGAAGGGTATGGTTTAAGCCTTTATGGCTTCTCAGGGTACAAACCAGATTTGTTCTCTTCTATTTCTTCTTTAGTTGTCCATCTAATCTGGAAGGAGGGTATTACATATACTTTTTTCCCCTTCTAATTCAGATGCTATATGAGTTCCTTCTGTATATCTTGCCATGAGGATTGTGGAAAATATGCATTTAGTATTTGTGGTTGGATTCAAGCTGGTGGCCTGTGTCCAATGGGTTAACTAGGAAAGTGCTTTTGTTTGATGCAAAGTATTCCGCGTCAAGAGTTGTGCCTCTACCAACAACTTAAGCTTTTGGCATGGTGATAAAAGCACATGTGGTCATATACAATATTTTTTTTTTTAAAAGATTGTGAAATCAGGCAGAAAGAATTTGATGCTGTTCAATATAGAAGAATATGTATTTTGATTTTTTGGTCTTGATTGATTTGAGTGTATGGGTGACTTATTCATAGATTTATTATGGCTTTTTTTATTTCTCAGGGTAACAAAAATATTGTAGTAAATACTGAAGGTGATGAGGTCCTATCAGATTCCCAAAAGGTCACTTCTCCATCATCTAGCTTTCCCACAAATCATAGTGGTGTTCCTTCACTGAGTACAGATTCTGTGAGCCCAACATCCAGTTTGATGTCTTTACGTGAAGATGCTGATTCTGGTAATTCTGCTTAAATATATTTTACAAGGGTTCAAAATTTTATGTGGTCTGTGAAGTGAATTAATGAGCTAACTCTTCAAATATCTTATGTACTGTTCAACAAATATTTGCATAATAGTTTGGCCCATTTGGTCACCCACCCTTAAATGGTTTAATCATAATTCTTTCCAGAGGATATCCACCAAGCAAGTTCTGGGTTGCGCCCATTACATGAGTCACAACATATGGGGAATGGTCCATTTACGGGAAAGATTGATGCTGGTTTGAACAGTTCATATCCTATGCATCCCCTTTCAGGTTACCTTCCCTTCTTTTTCCTTATTTTTGTTGTCTCATGTATTTTCTAACTCTACTAGGAAATATCTGACACATGGTTCCCCCCATATATATCTTAAAAAATATTTTTAGGTGATCATGGACAATCAACAATTTCTGGAGTGGATTATATCCCAGTCCCAGTTGCTCACGGGGATAAATTTAGAGGAAATGATACTGCTTATATTGATGGTCATAAAACACATGGTGTGGCACCATGGGACACTGTCTTGGAAAGCACCGCCAAATTTCATAATGATCCTTCTCTTGCATCATTTCCTTCCATCACATCTAGTTCAACAGGAAACGTCCTTGAACAAGACCATACCATTTTTGGTGACCTCATAATGAGCAAAAAAGGTCTCACTGCGGATGCAGAGATCTCTCAGTCTCTCCAAGCAAATTGGCAGGTACATACTATTGCTGCATAGTATATGTACCAATAGCATTATCTCTCATCTGTGATTTTTTTGTTTGGAATGGAAATCCTAGTTTCTTGAACTGCTATTTTCATTAATAACATAGTTAAGCTAGCTCAATGATGAATTTATTGGCTATCTGGTATTGGGCTGCTTGTGTCATATCAAAAGGTTTTGAATTGTTTCTGAAACTTTAGAAATGCTACAATTCCAAATTTCCGTTTAATTTGTGACTTGAACTTTCTCCAGATGTATCCATATCAAACCTTTTGTCGAGATGAATATTTATTAGCTCAAACTCTTACTAGACAACTCACTGGGTAGCCATGGCTTGGTATTAGCTTGGCTTGGTGTCAGTTTTATCTTTTTATTGCTTAATTTGAAACATATTTTTAACTTTGGTTTCTCTTATATGTAATTTCAACTTACTACTACTTATGAGATTTAGCCAAAAATGTAAATTTATTCATTTTGTTATTTAATTTTATGCAGATCCCTTTTGAAGACAATTCAGGAGACACGCCAACTTTAACCCAATCATTTGGCCTACAATTTGGATCTGATTATGGCACCGGTTTACTAGGGAACTATACTCGTAATGCAAGTTCTGAAATTGCTCCAGTCCTGTATAATTTTCATGGTGAATCAAAAGAGCAGACTATGCAGCAAAACTATCCAGAAGAGCATGCAGATGAACAATCTCAATATGCAGTAAAATCCAATTCTGCAAATAAAATTCCTGATGAAGAAACCATCAATTATGGCTTAAATGTGAAGTACGCATTATTAGACAGAGACGAGAGCCTGAAGAAGGTTGATAGCTTCTCTCGATGGGTTACTAAAGAACTTGGAGAGGTGGCTGATTTGAATATGCAGTCCTCACCTGGTATTTCATGGAGTACAGATGAATGCCAGCATGTGATAGATGATACCTCATTGAGTCCATCTCTCTCTCAGGACCAACTGTTTAGTATAAATGATTTTTCACCTAAATGGGCTTATGCTGAGTCAGAAATTGAGGTACTGATTTTGTGGATATCTACATCTATATCTATAATTATATATATCTAGATATATTATGACCGATGGTTCTCTATCCAATTTTTTTTCCAACCCTACTTTCCCTTCTAATATTATCACATCATATATTATAGTATTATACTATTATATTATTATTACTATTATATCATTATCATATATTCATACATTATATTAATATAATATTCTATATGTAAAAATATTAAATTTCTTACATATATTATTATAATATTTATGTCTACAAAATCAAAACTTTAAAATTAATAATAAAAATGTTTTATTATTATTTATATAAAAATATTATTAATGTTTATTATTATTATTATTATTATTATTATTGTCTATGCATATTATAATTAAGGAATCATACAACCTCCAATTTGTTTTAATCATTTATATGATTTTTTTCATGTCTATTTTTCTGCCAATTTAAATAATCTTTTCATGCTAATTTTCACTTTTTTTTTTTGTTTATTTGCATTATTTTTTCACTAATTTGAATTATTTTTTCTCACCCATTGGAATGATTTTTGTCTTTTAATTTTTCACTCATTTGCATTTTTTTCTGGTTCGTTTAAATGAATTTTCCCCACTATTTTTTTGTTTTGCCTGTTTACTAATTGCATGTTTTTATGATCAATTTTATAATTTTTATCCCTGTTTAAATAATTTTTCTTGCCTATTTATATAGTTTTTAGTTATTCATCTGATTTTTTTTTGCTAGTTTTACTTGTTTTAATCATTTTTCCTACTTATTTTTCTTGCTCATTTGCATGATTTTTTCTCTTATCCATTTTGTGCGTATGTTAATTCACATAAGATTTATGTTTTTATAATAAATGTGTATGCACATCGTACATGAAATCTAGGTCATTTGATTAGGATTGTATATAATAACACCAGTGTAACTTTTACTAAGTATTATACCTCTCAATAACTTTATATTAAATGTGAATTTTGTAAATACAACCGTTAAATTGAAAGTTCTTTACTCTTATATCATATATACAAAATTTTATATTAATCCAAGATAATTTGATACTTCATTCTTATAAAACAAAATTGACATAATGTATATATTTCAAAATATATTAAAATATGAACAATTTGATTACCTTCAAGTTGTTGTTCAATTTTAACAAAATTTGATATAAACATATAAAGTGATATGAACTTTCAATCTAACGGTTGGATTTACAAAATTTACATTTAATATAAAGTTATTGAGCGGTGTAATACTTAGTAAAAGTTATACCGGTTTTATTATAACCTTCCTTTATATATATATATATATATATATATATATATATGTTTTATAAGCATTTTATAAAGTATAAGAATTTTAACCGTGGGTAGCTTGGGAAATTAAACTAGTACTTTCAATATTAGTACTTTCAATATTGAAGAAAGGAAAAACAGTTCAAAGAAAATAAGAAGGTATCAACTTATACAATGTCAGGTTTCAAGCCATTTTTTTTTCTGCTAACCTTATATAAATATGTGTACATGGCATTTTCATCGATCATAAGGACTTTTTCTTTTCTCCTCAAATATCAAATGCTTGTCCTAGTCAGAAGTTTGCATTTTTTGCTCTTAATTTTTTAATTTGTAATGTTCTCCATTTTTTATATTTCTTCTACATCTTGGTATTTCATAATGCATCCTGACAATCTTCCTTCTTTTCCCCTCCGCATTAGTATGTTATATATGATAATTGGTTTTACTCCTTTTCTATTTGAGATTGAGTTTGTTTCGAGATAAAATGAAAAACCATTTTTTGTTTGATTGACATCTTATCCTGTTAAAACCAATACAGGTGTTGATTATTGGATCATTTTTGAAGAGTCAGCCAGAGGTGACAACCTGTAAATGGTCCTGTATGTTTGGGGAAGTTGAGGTTCCTGATGAGGTTTTAGCTGATGGAATTTTGTGCTGTCAAGCTCCACGTCATAAGGTTGGTCGGGTACCTTTCTATGTAACATGTTCGAATAGGTTAGCTTGCAGTGAAGTGCGGGAATTCGATTTCAGAGAGGGCTTTGCTAGAAATGTAGATTTTGCAGATTTTTATAACAGTTCGACTGAAATGTTGCTTCATTTGAGACTGGAGGATTTTCTATCTTTGAAGCCAGTGGACCCTTCAAATCATGCTTTTGAGGGTGACTTGGAGAAAAGAAACGTGATTTTTAAGCTTATATCACTGAGAGAGGAAGAGGAATATTCGATTAAGGAAGAGTCAACTACAGAATTAGATATATCTCAACACAAAGCGAAGGAGCATCTGTTTCTCAGGCAGGTTAAAGAGAAGCTGTACTCATGGCTTCTTCACAAAGTAACTGAGAGTGGTAAAGGGCCAAATATATTAGATGAGGATGGGCAGGGTGTGCTACATTTAGCAGCTGTTCTTGATTATGATTGGGCCATAAATCCAATTATATCAGCTGGAGTTAATATCAACTTCAGAGATGTTAATGGATGGACAGCTCTTCATTGGGCTGCATCCTATGGCAGGTAAGGTTCCTTGAGATTTATTCCTCTTTATTGAGTTGATTGAGCATAAGTTACGTCTGATAATCTGGTTCCCTGATATTCCTAATGCATTTTGACTTGTTTCAAGTTTGAATTTGTTTGTCCTAGCATATGAATCTAATTTAAATATTTGCATGAATGGACTCGTTCCCCCATCCACTCCCTAATATTTAAATTGTTTGGTGCTATGTTATGAAGAAATTTTTAGAATAAGATTTGTGGCTTGTATCCTTGCTAAGTCAGCAAGTCAGTTAGTTGTCAGTTTCTGTTTTGGAAAGGAAGTTAGAGTTTAAATAGTGGCTGGATAGACTGATTTCATGGATTCTTGAATTGTAATCTTTCCTGTATTTTTCCTATCAATAATAATACTCGCTTTGGATTCCTTTCTCATATAGGTATTCCTATTCATTCTTGTTCTTTGAATTGTTATGGTTCCTAGTTCTAAGAGAGTTCTTAACATGCTAAACATTAGAACAGTTTTTCTTGTGTAAATTATCTAACATAGAGTTATCCCTACAGCAATTGCGTTGGTTAGGCAAAGGCAAATCACTGAAGATTTTCTATTGTTTATTTTGCTTTCAGCATTAGTCAAAAGTATAGGGTTTTTATCCTCAAAAACTGTTCTCAATATATTTTGTTCAGCATAACGTAAAACTTTTCCTTATGTTATTCTTTCTCCTCCTTTTTTCAGAGAGCGGACAGTAGCTGTCCTTGTCTCCATGGGTGCAGATTGTGGAGCATCAACAGATCCATCTCCAGCATTTCGATCAGGTAGATCTGCTGCAGATCTTGCCTCTAGTAATGGACACAAAGGAATCTCTGGTTTTCTTGCTGAGTCTTCATTAACTCACCACCTTGAAACCCTCACAATGGATGATCAAAAGAGCGGTCAACAAGAAATTTCAGGAATGAAAGTGGTGCAGACAGTTTCAGAAAGAACTGCAACACCTGTGATCTATGGTGATATGCCAGATGCCCTCTGCCTGAAGGATTCACTTACTGCCGTGCGCAATGCAACACAAGCTGCTGATCGTATACATCAAGTATACAGAATGCAATCATTTCAGAGGAAGCAGTTAACTCAGTGTGAAGGTGATGATCAGCTTGGGTTGTCAGATCAACAAGCTCTTTCTCAACAAGAAATTTCAGGAATGAAAGTGGTGCAGACAGTTTCAGAAAGAACTGCAACACCTGTGATCTATGGTGATATGCCAGATGCCCTCTGCCTGAAGGATTCACTTACTGCCGTGCGCAATGCAACACAAGCTGCTGATCGTATACATCAAGTATACAGAATGCAATCATTTCAGAGGAAGCAGTTAACTCAGTGTGAAGGTGATGATCAGCTTGGGTTGTCAGATCAACAAGCTCTTTCCCTTCTAGCTTCTAGGGCAGGCAAATCTGGACAAGGAGATGGTTTAGCCAATGCTGCTGCAACACAGATACAGAAAAAGTTTCGTGGTTGGAAGAAAAGAAAAGAATTCTTGATGATTCGTCAAAGAATTGTTAAAATTCAGGTTCATTGATCTGCCCTTTTTACTTGATTTATTTTTTTTAATCTTCTGGACGTTTTTTTAAGTAAACTAGAATGTTGTTAGATGTTCTTGATTTCTCATTGAATCATCTTATCAATTATTATGCCACTATGGAAATTAAAGTTGTTAAATTGATTACCTTGGAGATTTTGATCGATAATAACTCGGTATAAGAATGGAATAATGCTTCTGTTAACTTTTCCATCTCTTTGCCTCTTCTATAACTTGTGTATACATGTGGATCACACATTGGATTGTCAAAAATTGGAGAAAACAGTCCAGAATGTGAGGAAATCATACATTAAAATATTCTTTATAGTGAGTTCATCTTTCCATGCATTTACTTGTTGAGTTTTTGTTTAATATTCATCAAAACATGAGATTGGTCACCTAGTGGGCCTTAAAAGCATTCATATGTCATGGCAGATCCAGTGACAATTAAGAACCCTCTAGGGAGCAGTTTTCTCCCAAGAAAGTACACCAGAGGAAATCAAATATAGCACTATTGCCTTAAAAGTCTTTCCTTCCTTGCCCTCCTGCCACGACCTGTAAAGTAGTAAATTCAAATTGTGGACACAGCTGATATTCACAAAAAAAGGCTTTAGTTAAAAAAAAAAATGTAAAACTTAGGTGTGAAATTGATTTTCCCAGGCAACTCTGCTCTTCCCCTACTCTGCTAATTGTACCTCATCCTCCCTTTTCCCACAAGAAAATGACTACTTAGACTTTCCTGTTTTTGTTCGTTGTTGTTCCTATTCTTCATTTCTGTGTCCCTATACTCTTAATACATGCCTCCACTGACTGTTGAATTCTGTGGTGTCAAGGCCCATGTAAGAGGTCACCAGGTAAGGAAACAGTATAAAACAATTATCTGGTCCGTGGGAATCCTGGAGAAGGTCATATTACGTTGGAGGCGCAAGGGTAGTGGTTTACGTGGATTTCGACCAGATGCTGTTAATAAAGTCCCCAGTCAACAAAATGATTCTCCGAAAGAGGATGATTATGATTATCTCAAGGAGGGACGGAAACAAAAGGAGGAAATAATCCAAAAGGCCCTATCAAGGGTGAAGTCCATGGCTCAATATCCAGAGGCACGTGCTCAGTACCGGCGTCTGCTAAACGTTGTTGAGGACTTCCGTCAAACCAAGGTATTTGTTAACATCTGGCAGGTGTCTAAACTCACTAATATTTGGCTAAATAATGTGCTCATAGTCATTTGATATCTGACAGGCATCTGACAAGGGTTTCCTCAATTCTGAAGAGACAGTCGAAAGTGTGGAGGATTTGATTGATATTGATATGCTTTTAGATGATGATAATTTCATTCCTATAGCATTTGATTGATCTGCAGCTCCCATCTTCCCCACTGTAAATACATGGCCAGTTGGCTTTATTTGGCATTGGGGAGTCCTAACATCGCCTTGATGTATATATTTCTAATCAAAATTACTTGGATCCAAGGCTGCATATAAGTAGATTATGATAACTAGCATGCACTCTGCTTTGACAAGATATTGTAGTCTAATCAAACATGGTTTGATTTTATTTATGATTATTTTAGTATGACAGGATGATTCTGTTTATAGATGGTTGGGGATTATAACATAAATGATGTATCTTGCTAAAGTATTAAACTGCAATTTGTACAGAAGTTTACTGTGGCGAGAGGAATTATATACTAAGTCTTAATTATGATATCAAGCTTGTTTTATCGCTTGCATTTAAATTTCTTTTTTTACGAGTTAGTTCTACTTCTGCAAGTTGTCATTTTAGTTATAGTTTTTCTATAGAATTTTAACGTCGACATTGTAGAGGATATATAGTTTGTTTCTGATTATCCCCTTCACTCATATCCCTGCACGGACTGATAAATGCTGAGTTTTTGTTAGTGATCATGACATAAATTGGTGAATTTAGCACATTTTCAACTTGAAAAACTTGAGGAACTCATCTTTGTTTCAATCTTCTGTATGTCCTACGCCTGTCTTAAACTTGTAACGCGGGTTGGTCATGAGCTTACAAATACCATCGTGAAATAGATTTTTAAGTTTAACCAAGAGTAATGTTATATTAGTCTATACTTAATTTTCTTAATATTTTATAAAGAAAGTATTAAATGAAAAATAAATATATTTAATATTTTAAAATATAAAAAAATAATACTATCTTTTTTAGTAAATAAAATGATTAATTAAGAATATGAAAGATTTAGTATTCACTTCATGTAATTTTCTGTTTAATTATTTTTCTTTGCTTGATTTTGAAATGAAAAGAATCGTAATCAATGACTGTTAATAGTCAATTATGAAATATGATAGTCTATATATAATGTTAATAGTCAATTATGAAATATGGTAGTCTATATATAATTTTAATAGTCAATTATGAAATATGATAGTCTATATATAGATATTAAATAATAAGTTTGTATTTTACATTTTTATCTAATCAGTCTGTATAAATAATAAGTTCAAGTTTTACATTCTCATCCAATAATAATTTACATAAATAATAAGTTTATTAACTTTAATAATAATTATCTTAAAATTTATATAAATTGTGATTTATTGATTTTTTATAACTTTTTTTATATTGACAATGTATTATTATTAAATTCTTCCTATATTATTTTTGTGTAGAAAAAAGGAAAAAGATAATAGAAAGACTCCAACGAATTCTATGAGTGAGAGGTTATTATGAAGAGAAAGACTTACTTTGTACTTTTTTTTCTTCTTTTAATATAGTTTAAGCAAGACATTTTCTTTTATTCGCTTGAATCTATTCTCATAGCTTGTCGTATATCAAGATGACCATAAGTCCCAGCACTAATTCATCCATCAAGTGGGAGATTTTCACTGTTGTGCATATATGTGCACTGCATATGGATCATTAGGGGGCAAGTTCCTGTGTTCTTCAGAAAGGGGGGTGTACACGTGGCAATACCCCACCTCGTACACCTAAGTGACTGTTTGTTTCCACGCGTGTGATCTCGTGGCTTGTTGGATGCGATGATGACAATGCTAACGTTAACAAATAACAACAGCTTTTTCTTTTTGATTCCTTTTGTTTTGGGCCATCAAATCTGGATGGGATTTGACTTGGCTTTTGTGCTATTTATTCATTCCACCAAACACAAACACTGCATGCAGCGTTGACCCTTTCAAGTTTGTAATAATAACCACATCCACTATCATATGCTTATGCCATTTTTTTTAAGGATTAAAATATTTTTTTATTTCTATACTTTCATTAAAATATTTTTTAAGTTCTTTTTTTTTTTTTAATTTTTATAATTTAAGATAAATTATTTAGTTATTATATTTATAATTTTTTAATCTTTTTAATCACCGACATCAATTTTTTTTTAATGTTGTTATGTTTATTTTTGATGTAATAGATATATTAATTTAATTTTATATGTCAAATTTATTTTACTGATTATTCTGAATTAGAACTCTTTTTGTATTTTCATATGCGACATTAATTATTAAAAAAAAATTTTCTTATAAAATTGTAAATTTTTACTATGTCAACACAAAATAGATAATATTATTAAAAAAATTAATGATAAAGACTAAAATTTAGAAAATTCTAAATATAGAAACTAAAAAAGTTTATCTTAAAAGGATTAAAAAGGATAAAATAAATATAAATATAAAAATAAAAATATTTATTTTAAATTACAAAGACTAAACGATAAAATAAGTAAAAGTGTGAAATTATAAAGATTAAGAAGTATATTTTACTTTTTTTTTTCATTTTTCTTTTCCAATCTAAAATTTTATTAGTTATCCATTTTACAAATGTTAATCCTTAACATTTCATCGACTAATTTCAGATGGTGAGACTGAGATGTTGAATATTCTTTTTTGACAGATTTTTTTTGCGTCCAGGGACTGCATATATGTTTTAATATTAACTTTATAATGAAACATGTTGGATGACACATTTTATTTTATAATGAAATATAAATTCTGTATGTGATTTTGTCCTGAAAACGGTAAATAAACAAATAAATAAATGTTGACATTATGTGATTTTTTTTTTGATTTATATGCTTTATATAAATTATTTTTACATTCTTTAAATTTGGAAAAAAAATTATTGTATTAATTTTTTAATTTAGATTTGGAGTGAAAAACTTGATATCAATTTTTTTTAATTGAAAAAAATAAATTAAATAAAGGATATTTTAAAATCATATCATGAAATTAATTTAAAATATTCTTATATTTTGATTCACCTGTCATGAAGATTTATTTATAATTTAAAGAGAGTAAATATATATATATATATATATATATATATATATAAATATATCTTGAGTCTAACATTTATTAAATTTGACATGTTTAACAATTTCATTTTACGATACTTTGACATTTCACACAATTTCTTATTAGTCAGAATCTTTAATTAATTAGATCCTTTTATGGGTAGTCCTTTTTAAGATGTCTGGTCATCTTTAGGATCAAAACATGTTATTTTACAAATAAATACAAGATTATGTAACTTATTTTGTTCTCACTTATACATTTTTTGAGAAACTTTTTAGAAGCTCGCCTATTTATAACTTGTTCCAACTCAAACACACTTGACTATGAAATTTTTTAGTAATGAACTACCAAAAAATATATGTTTCTTATTCGTACGGATCTATCAATAAATTTTATTAGTCACTTTTAATAAGGTCTTCTCTTTTAAATCTCAATTATTATTTTTTTATTCAAAAGACTTGAATCCTAAATATTGTTTAAGACTAAACTTTGTAATACTAAAACTACCTATTTATTAGAATTATATGTAGATATTTATGAATACTAATAAAAGTTTTTAACTATTTAAAAAATAGATATAACCTATGATGATAATAATTTTTTACTAATCAATAAATTAGAAATATAAAGAATAATAATTTAAAATGTTATAAATAAATTTAAATTTTAATGTATTGTTAATATAAAAATAATTTTAAATGACCAATCAATTAATGTTTTCCTAAACGGTTAAAATAATTACTAAAAATTAAATAATTTATGATATACATATATATAAGAAGGAATCAAATGATACTAATGTAGTTTTTATCGATTATTACACCATTTAATAACTTTATTTTAACTGTGAATTTTATTGATATAACTGTTAAATTATAATTTCATATCAACTTATATGTTTGTAATAAATTTTGTTAAAATTGAACAATAATTTAAAAATAATCAAATTGTTCATATTTTATATTTTTAAAATGTATATATTACATAATTTTGATCTATATTAGTGAGGTATCAAATCATCTTAAATTAATATAAAATTTTTGTATATATGATATATAAATAAAAAACTTTTAATCTAATGATAAATTTTGAAAAATTCACATATAATACAAAGTGTAATGATTGATATAATTTATAATGGTATCATTTGATCCTCTCTCTTTATATATATAACAATTTTTGATGGTATTATTTGATGATTTTTTTTTTAATTTTTTACTACAAATATAGGAGAAGTCAAAATTTATTATACCAATAATTTGAATAAATCAATTAACTGAAGGAAGGAAAAAAATTAACAGTCACCCTATATATAAAAATATCTGTGTATCTAAACAAAAAAAAATTGTGATCTTCAAAATTTATTATACCAATAATTTGAATAAATCAATTAACTGAAGGAAGGAAAAAAATTAACAGTCACCCTATATATAAAAATATCTGTGTATCTAAACAAAAAAAAATTGTGATCTTCAAAATTTATTATACCAATAATTTGAATAAATCAATTAACTGAAGGAAGGAAAAAAATTAACAGTCACCCTATATATAAAAATATCTGTGTATCTAAACAAAAAAAAATTGTGATCTTCAAAATTTATTATACCAATAATTTGAATAAATCAATTAACTGAAGGAAGGAAAAAAATTAACAGTCACCCTATATATAAAAATATCTGTGTATCTAAACAAAAAAAAATTGTGATCTTCAAAATTTATTATACCAATAATTTGAATAAATCAATTAACTGAAGGAAGGAAAAAAATTAACAGTCACCCTATATATAAAAATATCTGTGTATCTAAACAAAAAAAAATTGTGATCTTCAAAATTTATTATACCAATAATTTGAATAAATCAATTAACTGAAGGAAGGAAAAAAATTAACAGTCACCCTATATATAAAAATATCTGTGTATCTAAACAAAAAAAAATTGTGATCTTCAAAATTTATTATACCAATAATTTGAATAAATCAATTAACTGAAGGAAGGAAAAAAATTAACAGTCACCCTATATATAAAAATATCTGTGTATCTAAACAAAAAAAAATTGTGATCTTCAAAATTTATTATACCAATAATTTGAATAAATCAATTAACTGAAGGAAGGAAAAAAATTAACAGTCACCCTATATATAAAAATATCTGTGTATCTAAACAAAAAAAAATTGTGATCTTCAAAATTTATTATACCAATAATTTGAATAAATCAATTAACTGAAGGAAGGAAAAAAATTAACAGTCACCCTATATATAAAAATATCTGTGTATCTAAACAAAAAAAAATTGTGATCTTCAAAATTTATTATACCAATAATTTGAATAAATCAATTAACTGAAGGAAGGAAAAAAATTAACAGTCACCCTATATATAAAAATATCTGTGTATCTAAACAAAAAAAAATTGTGATCTTCAAAATTTATTATACCAATAATTTGAATAAATCAATTAACTGAAGGAAGGAAAAAAATTAACAGTCACCCTATATATAAAAATATCTGTGTATCTAAACAAAAAAAAATTGTGATCTTCAAAATTTATTATACCAATAATTTGAATAAATCAATTAACTGAAGGAAGGAAAAAAATTAACAGTCACCCTATATATAAAAATATCTGTGTATCTAAACAAAAAAAAATTGTGATCTTCAAAATTTATTATACCAATAATTTGAATAAATCAATTAACTGAAGGAAGGAAAAAAATTAACAGTCACCCTATATATAAAAATATCTGTGTATCTAAACAAAAAAAAATTGTGATCTTCAAAATTTATTATACCAATAATTTGAATAAATCAATTAACTGAAGGAAGGAAAAAAATTAACAGTCACCCTATATATAAAAATATCTGTGTATCTAAACAAAAAAAAATTGTGATCTTCAAAATTTATTATACCAATAATTTGAATAAATCAATTAACTGAAGGAAGGAAAAAAATTAACAGTCACCCTATATATAAAAATATCTGTGTATCTAAACAAAAAAAAATTGTGATCTTCAAAATTTATTATACCAATAATTTGAATAAATCAATTAACTGAAGGAAGGAAAAAAATTAACAGTCACCCTATATATAAAAATATCTGTGTATCTAAACAAAAAAAAATTGTGATCTTCAAAATTTATTATACCAATAATTTGAATAAATCAATTAACTGAAGGAAGGAAAAAAATTAACAGTCACCCTATATATAAAAATATCTGTGTATCTAAACAAAAAAAAATTGTGATCTTCAAAATTTATTATACCAATAATTTGAATAAATCAATTAACTGAAGGAAGGAAAAAAATTAACAGTCACCCTATATATAAAAATATCTGTGTATCTAAACAAAAAAAAATTGTGATCTTCAAAATTTATTATACCAATAATTTGAATAAATCAATTAACTGAAGGAAGGAAAAAAATTAACAGTCACCCTATATATAAAAATATCTGTGTATCTAAACAAAAAAAAATTGTGATCTTCAAAATTTATTATACCAATAATTTGAATAAATCAATTAACTGAAGGAAGGAAAAAAATTAACAGTCACCCTATATATAAAAATATCTGTGTATCTAAACAAAAAAAAATTGTGATCTTCAAAATTTATTATACCAATAATTTGAATAAATCAATTAACTGATGAAAGAAAAAAAAATAACAGTCATCCTATATATAACAATATATGTGTATCTAAAAAAAAAAAATATTTGTGATCTTCAAAATTTATTATATTGAATAAATCAATTAACTGATAAAAGGAAAAATATTAACAGTCATCCTATATATATAACCATATTTGTGTATCTAAAAAAAATTGTGATATTCAAAATTTATTATACTAATGATTTGAATAAATCAATTAACTGACGAAAGGAAAAATAAAAATAAAAAAAAACAGTCATACTATATATAACAATATTTGTGATCTTAATAGTTACAACCAATACAGAAGAATTATAACAAAAGAGTTGAGTGAATCAATTACCTGATGAAGGGGAGAAAAAAGGGCAATTTAGTTTGAACATGGTTTTAATAGTTTTTTTTTAATGGTTTGAAATTTAAATTTGAAACTGAAATCCCACAATTTTGGGTGAAATGCTTGTTAGGGACATAGGACATGTTGCAGAGGCACATGAACAACCAAACAACTCTGGTACTGGAATTTGACCATTCAGCTTTTGCTGGTACATATACTAGTTGGTGGACCTGCACTATAATTTAGAACAAAAAACAAAAATTGGAGCAGGATGGTTGCTGACTTTCTGACCCTAACATTTTTAACTTCATCTAAAATTAAACCTGAGCCCCACAAGATTCCTTGCCTTCAAAGTTGCAGCTTCTCAGTTCTTCACTCTCACATTTGGCATTTAATGTCTCGTTTATAGGAAATAAAATAAGATCAAAGATTAAACCCATGATCCTCTTTTGTCGTCAATTGCTGATTGTATGTTTCTATGCTCAGAAAGTTAATGTCCTGTCTGAAAAATCTAACCTGCGGAGTTGACTTATTTAATGCAGATCCAATTCTACCTTATTATATCATATAGTACTATCATATAAAAGAATACTAACAAATTTATTTAATTTATATGTCAAATAAAAATTATAACAAGTATGACTCTTCTTTTTAATAATTATTGAAAAAGTTAATAATTTTTTTATTTATAATATTTGTAAAATTCCTTTATATTTCAAATATATATATATATATATATATACTCTAGTGATAAAAATTTTTGAGATAAATATATAAGAATCTAAATTTAATATTTATTATTTTTGTAATTTTTTATTAACTAGAAAACTATAGATAATGAAACATTATAAATAAGATATCACGTTATAAAGAGAATAAATAAGATAAATATATATCTTATTTATTATAAAGAGAATAAATTATAAATAACTATCTTTTATTTTTATTTTTAATGCATCATTATATCACGTTATATCTATTATAAATAAGATATATGATGAATAACTGTTTTTAGTTTTTACTTTTAATGAAATATTATATTTCTCGTATTTTCTAAGTAACCACCATCAATCATCTATTCAATTTATCTTTTCTATTTTATTTATAATTTTTAAAAAATAAGAGGTAGGAAATAACTCTTTTTCTTACTATTAAATCATAATATTTATAAGAATTTAATGATTTTCTACTGTTTTATGCTATTAATTAATAAAACTTATTAATAAATAAAAGTTACAAATTTATCTCACTTAATAATTTTTATTAGATGATAGTGTAAATAGCTTATTATTTTTATTCATATTGTTTGCTTAAGCAAGTGAAATTAAATAAAAAAATTCAAAGACTTAGGAGAATAAAATTGTTTTTGTTATCCTTTTGGGACAAGAGCTGTATCTGTGGGAGGGGAAATCAAATGAGAGAATTAATAGGAAGATACAGAGAGAGAAATTGTGAGGCTAGAAAGTGTTGCTGACTTTTGAAGTCTATGAGAAGTCCCCACTCCACCCAGGGATGAGAGAGAGAAAACTATGAAACCTCAAAACAGCTGTATGAAATAATCAAACAAAGTGTGTCAGCATAGCAATAAAACAACTACAAAACTGCAAAGTCAATAAGGGCAACCTTTGCCTTTTGTTCTCAACAACAACCAGACGGTTACACCCTTTCATCTTCTGTTCTATTCTTTCTTATTAATATCCTCTTTTTATCACAAGTTTTTGCTTTCTCTTCCTTTTCCATAAAGGAGACGACCCACTTCCCATACCGATCTCTCCTCTCGTTTTTCTCATTAAAGTTGAGATTTTTGGATTGGTTGGGGAATTTTTTGAGCCAGTTGATCATCTAGGCGTTGAAAATTTTCCTTTTTGCCCCCTCTTTTTAGGGGAGGGTTGTTGGAATTGCTTGCTTGAGTGATCGGAATGTTTTGCTGATAATTCGCTGTTGTTGGAGAGTTTTGGAGTTTCTCTGACGTCAAGCTTTTGTGAAATTTTCGGTTTTGAAGATTTGCAGAAGAGTTATATGTTGAGTGATAGAGGAGGAAGGTGAGGTGGGGCTGAATTATTAAATGGCTTGTTTCTGTTGCTTCGACTCTAAGGTGAGGATTTCTGGCCTCTTTATTAATGTTTTATTTATCAATCTTCATGCGTATACAAATCCTTTGGTGATTTCCATGTATTTTAGAGGGGGCGTTTGTGCAGTGAATGGTTCAGAACTGTCTCAAAATTTATTTTTCTATGCTTACTTGATAATGAAAATTGAAACTTAAGGATTGTTTTTGTGCTTTTAATCTGTAACCTCAGAAAAGTAGCAGATACTGATTGGGGGTAACATGGATATGAGCATTCGTGGATAATAACTAGATATGAGCATATGCTATACGTTTCGTGTTTCAAGACAGCTTTTTTATTGATATGATCATATATGGGATTCTCTACTTTCTTTGTGGCCTGAAAAATTTAAATGCAAAACCAAATACTGGCTTGTTTCTTGAGTCTTGACATGGATTAGGTACTTTACAGTGCTGGAGTAGTTTGAGCATTTAGCATTGAACTTTCTGATGTAAGTTAATTTTGCGAGACACCTCTCGATTCAAATGGTTGCTTTAAACACCAAAGCTGTCTAATAAATCCACTTTTGACCCTTGGATGTTTCATGAGTGCGTTTTGGTCTACTTATGAGCAAGGTTTTAAATTGTAGTCACGGTTTTGTGGTGATTATTCACATTGTGGGAAATTGCAAACACAATTGCAGTTGTGATGCTGCAGTTGTAGGGGTTCTAAAATCCTTGACATTGCAGCCGAAATTGCAGTTGTGGGCTGTTTCTTAAAACATTGTTTATGATCTATGTTTTATTTCTATCTCCTTTGGTTGTTGGTGGTGCTGATAAATAGTTAATATTCTGGGGGCTTGGCATTTTAAATCTGACACTTAAAACCGGAGTTATGTAGTACAGAATGTGTTTCTCTGTTTTATTTTTGAATGGTGTGTATTGACATTTGACAACTTCCTCTTTCCTTGCATTGCATTTATGTTATGTTCCTTTGATAATGAACTATGTTCCTTTGTTTTTTAATCATTTCTTTAATACTTGAATCATGTTCCTTGCATTGTATTTTATGTTAAACAGTAGATTCTTTTGTTACTGTATTTTAACTTCCATAGTTTTCAGGTGGTTGGAGGAAACTCTTCATGTAGCTCTGGCAAGGGTAAGGGCCATCAGTGCTCAGTTAAGTATGGCTTTAGCCTAGTTAAAGGGAAAGCAAACCACCCAATGGAGGACTACCATGTAGCGAAAATTGCCAAGTTTGGCGAGCGGGAATTAGGACTTTTTGCTATATATGATGGACACTTGGGGGACACTGTGCCGGCCTATTTACAAAAGCATCTCTTTTCTAATATCTTGGAGGAAGTGAGTCACTGAACCAATTTTAAGAAGTATCATGCATCAAATATTACCTTAATCACATTTGATTCCTTGGCCAAAGTTTCCCCCCTTTTTTTCCTAGTTTCTTCCCATACTCTTTTTTTTTGTGATCAATATAGACAATATGAAATATAGGGTCTGTTTGGATAATCTTTTCCAAAAGCACTTCTAGGAGAGAAAAATAAAAAGGAAATTTGAAATAAATTTCTTCATAAGTTAAAACTAGCTTATGCATTTGTTAAAATTAAGATTTTGAAGAAACCAAAAGTAGAGAACTTCTATAAATTAGCTTATGCATAAGTTAATTTCAGTTTATAGAGAAATTTATTTTGTTTTTCCTTCCTATTTTTCTCTCCTATAAGTACTTTTGGGAAAGTTTACCCAATCGAGCCCATAGTCTGATTGAACTTGATCTCTTGATGAAATCTGTAAAAACATCGCTCTTGTCAAACAAACTTGTAGTTTGGCCTAATTTTATTTTTGAATCCTTGTAATGACTCATGGCATAATTTTATTTTGGATTATTGCAGGAGGATTTCTGGACTGATACAGCCAGTTCCATCATTAAAGCTTATGAGACAACAGATCAGGCCATTCTTTCTCACAGTTCTGATTTGGGGAGAGGAGGATCAACTGCAGTGACAGCAATTCTTATTAATAATCAGAAGTTATGGGTAGCAAATGTTGGAGATTCACGAGCTGTTCTGTCAAGAAGAGGGGAAGCCATACAGATGACCATTGATCATGAGCCCAATACTGAAAGGGGCATCATCGAGAACAAAGGCGGCTTTGTCTCTAACATGCCAGGTTCTTTTATAAACCTTAATGTGTATATGTCTGTGAGATATTGCTTACATCTTCAATGCGGGATATATCTTGTCATTCTATGAGTTTTCAATGATGTGAAGTTCTTGTGAAAGGTATTTATACATCATGAGTTTCATTTGCATTTTCAAAGAGGAAGGGAAAGACACATGGTGATATACATCTTACCTTGTCTTTAAAAATAGTTTACTAACATCCAGTTGAAGTAAGGGTGAGCATGGACCAACTCGGCACGCTAATCTGATGTTAGCCCAAAATTGATTTGGACGAGCTTGAGCTTTGAAATTGAATCCAATGCATTTTTAGGATGTGTTTAAGTTATGTTTCCGGTTGTTCAACCTGATTTAATATATAACAATTTCTTAAAAAGCATAGTTTTTATTGAATTATTATGTATTAATAATAAAAATTTATTTAGTTATTAATAATTTTATAATACGATATTCTATTTATAATGGAATTATTTATTCTAAAAATATATATTATAAAATATACCTTATTTTTCCCCTCAATTCCACTCTTGTCTCGCAATTTGTTCACGTATTTGTATTTTATTCCGATATTTTTTTGGTAGGAATGACATGTCTTGAGTTGAGCAGTGTTATAAAAAAAATAAAATTCACATCATTTCCCAGCACAGATAGCAAAATGGAGTGACATGAAATGAGTTTTAACTTTTAACAATGTAAGGGCTGATTATTATATATTTTAAATCATTGACTAAATTGCAATTGTTGTACATTTTAGGCTCCAGACATTAAAAGTTTAAGATTTAAGGCACATATCATTTTTAAAGCTGGCAAGTGGCATCTACTGAAATATAAGATCTTACTAATAACAAAAGTTCTAATATAAGTCAATTATAGAATCTCTGTTATAACTTTGGGTGTGAAAAAATATGTTTTTTGTTTCTGATTAAAAAACTCTCACTTTTATGTAATTCTCACAAAGAATGTATTTCTGAGAAGTCATTGGCTTTGGCTTTACTGCAACTGTTCATATCTGTTGGCTGCATGCCTACATAATCCATAATAATAATAGATACAGATGCAATCTCCAGTTTTAATAACTCGCTGATCACATTAGGATTGTCCCACAGTGCTAGAGAGTGCCGATGACTTGGATAGTCAATTAAACAAGACTGTAAGTCTTGATTTTTGTGCTCTTCCAAAAGCTTTTGCTTGTCCTCTGCAAGAACAAGTTTCTTCTTGCTTTTGTGTCCTATCCTTGAACAGAATGGTGAACTTAAATTCACAATTTTAACAAGTTGTTTAGTATCTAGGTTAGCACTTAAACTTCATGGTACTTAACTGTAAAATCTTGCTTGAGATTTTCTGTGTGTGAAGAATTAAATTGTTTACTACTTCTTGGTGTTGAGTGTTTTAAGTCTTTTAATTTGGTTGTAATTTCAGTGGCTTTGACCATGCCCCTCTGAATAGACACGGTGATGAATAACAGTAATTAAGTCATGAACATGTTGGTAAATGTATATTGCATGTGACCAATCAATTTGACTTTTGTGGAATCATTTGTTTTGGCAAAAAACACTTCAGGTGCCACTTATGTTGAACTATCTTGACAGAAGTCATGGACCAAATGGAAATCCAAGTTTGGTTCAAATTTGTTAAATGCTATTAGTGGAACATGCTACTAATTTTTACGATCATTCAATCATGTTCTGATTCAAGGCATCTGATCAATTTGTCGAATAACTCTGAGCTTCACTTATAGAGAGTACAATCATCATTCCCCAATGAGTATATGATGCCTCACAAATGCTAATTAGCGATTACTATATATGCAAGCATAGTCACATACACAAGCATATGTCAATTCTACTCCAGTAACTTTTTATAAAATTAGATAATGAAGGATGAGTAGGATAGTTTTAATAAAACTGTACCCTTAGCATGGTTTTAAAAAACAGTCCACGACTGCAATTTTGACCATTGTCAAGGTTTTTAGTTCAGCCACATGTGGCTATTTGCCCACTAAATAAAATATTACATAGAAATTGCCAGAACCATGATCATAATCACAATTTAAAACCTCGACTCTTATTAAGGTTTATATGGCATGTTGATGATAGTATAGAAGGGTATTCGCAACATTAGCGAGTCCTTTTTGTTTGTGTTATGTAAATTGGAGTAATTTGTTCACTTGTGGGGGATTATATCAGGAGATGTTGCAAGAGTGAATGGGCAGCTTGCAGTTTCTCGAGCATTTGGAGACAAAAACCTAAAATCACACCTACGATCTGATCCTGATGTGCAACATGTTGATATTGACTCAGATTCTGAGCTTTTGATACTTGCTAGTGATGGTCTTTGGAAGGTTATCCATCAATATAACATCTTTCTGTCCATTATTTCTTAAAGAGAAATATACTTATACAACAATTTGTATAACATCATTTGTTGTGTCTATCTATCTCTTTATCACATCATTTATTATATTTATTAATGATGTAAAAAGATAGATACATAATATGATGCTGTATAAATTGTTGTATGGATTATTGTGCATGTATCATAACTCAAATATTGTACATAAAATATAATCGTTCATTTCATTCAATTTCAGGTAATGGGAAACCAAGAGGCAGTTGATATTGCAAGAAGGGTAAAAGATCCACAAAAGGCAGCGAAACAACTAGTTGCTGAGGCATTGAGCAGAGAGAGTAAAGATGATATTTCGTGCATTGTAGTTCGTTTCAAGGGATGAAAAACGGAACACAGCATAACTACTACCTAAATTTTCATGGTATATATTAGTCAATCTTGACTTCCAATATCCCTTCCATTTGTTGGGAGATCTCATGAAATTCATTTTCTACAACATAGGTTTTGCTCATTCCTCTGTAAAATTGAAGCTCTTCAAATTAGGCGGTGCCATTTAGTATCTCATGATTTGTTTTCTGTAGATTAATAGCATAATTTTTCTTTTGTAATTTGCATTATTATTTGTGGCAGTGTGGAGATGGACATAGTTTTTACATTTGAACGAAGGAGTTTTGCGTTTATCATAAACAACATTTACGATGTACTCAAAATTCCACTAGCTCGAATGCCTTATTTTCTTGCTTCTTGAAATCGTTTTATTTATTTATTTTTTTGAAGGAGATGTTGAAATAATTTAGCTTCTTGAACATCTGAAATTTTTAAATTTTTTTCAAACTTCAAATTCATCATAAATCAGTAGGCATAGATCCTCTCCTGATGATTTAAAATGGGAGTTTCATGTTCTAAAAATGAACCATTAAAATTTTCGTGTTCATTATCTTTGGGAACAGAGTTGTGGCTAAATTAAGTCCTAGATAAACTTTTTGAAAAATACTTTTATGTGAAAGATACAATTTCATGAAATCTCTTTTATGGATATAAGGAATATTCATTTCAAGAAGAATGTTAAATTATACTTTCAGATTTTTTTTTAAAGATTCATCTTAATCTTTTATATCTTTTAAATGTTCAATTTGATTTTTTATTTCTTAAATTTAAGTTGATTTATCTATTTTGAAATGATGATTATTTTTTAATTTTGAGACATGATTTTAATTTATAGCCTTTTGGATTTAAGTGTTGAATTTTATAGTTTTAAATTTTATATTTTTAATGATGATGTTTTAACAATCAACTAATATCATCATTTATTCACAATTGTTCTCTTTCATAATTTATCTTTCCTAAACATTAATATAGGTACCTCAACCTATTCATAAGATCATATATTTAAAAGTTAAGGTAATTCATGTCACCATTCACATACTACATTTTAATAACCTAATCTTTTATGAGCTTGTATGGTACAAATACAATATTTAAAGGTATATATTTGTTATCAAGTTGATCTTAACTGTGTTAGAAAGTTAAGGAAATTATTTATAAATTCTATGTTAACCTCCAGAGTTAATGTTGCCATCTATTATTTTTTAAAATTACAAAACTTAAGTGTTTTAGCTTAAATCCAATAGCTTGACATCTTCTCATTAATCTAATCATCATTTGAGTTCTAGACTTCATTTTTGAGTAATTTCAATGACATTTGAAAGCTAACATCTAGTGATACAATTTTTATGGATATCATAAACTTGATTTTGATGTTATCATGTTTGACATGTAGAGGACAACACCCTCTCTGCAACACTCAACCCAACATAGTTAAGGTCACGGTTATGTACGAACAATGTCAAATGACATTCGGCATGGGCCATTTAACGCCCAACACAATACTAATTCATGGAAAATTTGTAAGATGTGCGAAAATCACACATTACAAACTCGAAATGCCAAAACTTCAAATCAATCAATAAAAATCATGATTAAAGATTAATAATACTCTGTTATATTATTAATTACTTAAATATAATACCAATTTCACATTCTCACATGTTCATCTCTATTACCCCATATTAAATCAATGTGTATGTTTCCTAGGGTTCTCACAAGAACCCATGAACAATCCAAAATCCATAAAACTAATTTATATAACAATTAAACATACATATACATCAACATTATCAATTAGAATACTAAAGAATCATATATAATCATATGGGAAGAAAAAATACAAGTTAAGGCTAGAAGTTGAGATTGCCCTGTCATGCAACACATACAAGTAAGGATGTTCATAATTGATCTAGTCCAATGTAAACCGCATAAATTGAACCAAAAAATTCAAAAATTAAAACAAAAAAAATTGATTTTTTTAATTGGACTGAATCAATTTTTGATTCCAATAAGAAAACCAATCCAATCCAAATTGAATTGAACACTTATCTCTTTCTCTCTCTCTCTCTCTCTCTCTCTCTATATATATA